TGTGTGTGTGTGTGTGTGTGTGTGTGTGTGTGTGTGTGTGTGTGTGTATGTGTTTTATTCTTACACTCATGTCTAGTCAGAGGGTAAAAGGCCAGTACATTATTTAGTTTATTATATAAGTAGCTTCCCAGAAAACAAGAAAATTTCCCAGCGAATTTTGTTTTATTATTAAAAGAAGAAAACTTAGTTTAGAAAAAAAAATAGTTTAGAATACTTAAATAAAATGACATATAATATATAATTGCCGGACTGTTAAAACTTTACAGTCCTTGTAAAGCTTAATTGTTGGATATAAACGTGGGAGATAGTGACTAACTTTCAGTATCAACCTTTGAGCTCTTTCAAGAGGCAGTAAAGTTGATGTGGGCGCTCCACCCCATATTTCAACACAATATGTCAATATTGATTGGTAGATTGATAGATATGAATGTCTATAATGCTTATCATCGTGGTGCCGGGATTAGCCAAAACAAAATCGGCATAAGGTACTTCCACTCCCCGGTGCATCAAACGTACAGGTAATGAATGGTACGTTGTGCAGGGAGGCACCTTTCTTGCACCTCTTTAGGCGAGGTAATTCAACAACAAGAGCTCGATGGCGACTGACGGGGCAGCGGGCACCGCGGTGCGTCGTTAAACCGCTGGGCAATTGTCAAATTTTGGGATAATTGTCTGTTTAATGACTACAGGAATTCGGTTAAAAATCAAAATTTAGTAGGTTCTCTGTAGTACTGAAACAAAAATGTCTCCATTATAATAATTATGTGCAAAATTAGATGTTTTATTCCTAAATAAATCGTTTTAGAGTTTCAGTTTAGCCTGTTTTCAGGATTTTATATGATCTGGTAAAGTACATCCTATTGTGTAACAAATTAGCCATTCTTTAGATAATATACTAATTAATAGTAACTACCTGAATCATTTGATCTAGTAAAACAGTTTTTCCCGCCTCTTTTCCGATGACTCGCCAGATAAGAATCAATTTTTGTAATGTTACTAAGGTTAGAAAATAATATTTTGTAAAATTTTGAATAATATTTTTTTTAGGAATTACTGGCCATTAAAAAAATTAAAATAAAAAAATAAAAAATAAAAAAATTAAATAAAAATAAAAAAAAATAAAATTATTCAAAGCACTCCGTTTCGATGTAAAGAGTTTTCAGACGTTTGTTGCATTTCCATCGGCCAGTTGATCAGCAAATAACGCAGCATTATTGCATTTAATTATTTTGGGCTCATGTCCTGAACAATTATGGAACGTATCTTCAGCCAATGACAAAGATGACCGATCTTTTTTTGTATCTTCCTAGTCATAAATTGTACTTGTTAATACTACGTCGAAATAAGTCTGTCTGTCAAGCTGTCGACTATGACCTGTGATTGCGTTGCGTTGGTTATCCTCATCTTTTAATTTGGAATACAGTATGTACACAGGTGCTGTTCGAATAATTTTGATTCCACCGAACACGATCGACATACGTCAACTTCCTCAGCTAAAAGACCTCTGCCTGCCCTACCTACCTCGCTTCCGAGTTAGCTTCCACTCGTAGGAATCTCTTAGGACGTGATAGCCTGGTCTGCTAGAATCAACCCTCTACGTTATCTGCTCCCTCTCGTGGGATAGTTTCATAGCTGCGTAGCCGTAGAACATCACATTTGTGTATTGTAAAAGTTGTTACAAATACTGCAAATAAACCTCCAGATTTCCTACAAGTCGGATTTTCATTCTACGCCCGATCCCCTTACACACTTAATTTTATAAAAATATACACCCGTACCATCGTAAACTTGTATCATTCTGCTGGAAGCTCATTTATTCCTTTGCGGTAAAGTAATGGAGAGCGGAATTCACAAAGTCTTGGAACTGCTTTACGGGAATTAAATTGTTTTCCTTGTAAATAATTATCTAAATTGCGGAAAAAATGGTAGTCAGTAGGGGTCAAGTCAGGTGCAACATCTGAAAGGTGGAGATGTTTTGTTCAGCAGTAGAAATAGGGGCGAGAATCGCTTGAGTAACCGTAATTGTTAGCAACCGAGTCTTTCTATCATCATACAGAATTGGTCAAATCAAAAACGCACAGTTAATTTTTTAGTTGCATTGGATCCATGTTTGCGATGTTAATGCATAAGTATGACGTCGGAACATGGTATTAAAAAATATACGAATTTCAGTATTGTCCATTTTCATTTCAAACGAACACAAAATTATATTAAACGTAAAAATAAATAAATTCAAAATTTTTAAATTTAGAAGCATTATGATTTAGTCTGAAGAAGCCTTTGATTTCAATTTTACACCAAAAATACTTTATTTCATTACAAAGTTGCCATTGAACCGCAATTTACGAATAATAAAATATAAAAAATAAATGAATACGAGTAAAGGGTAAGTTCTCTTTGTGTGACGGCTGTTGAACCGGCAAAAGTATTTAAATGCAAATCAAAATCAAGTTCTGAATTTAAATTACAACACATTTAAATATAGGTGTTAAATGTGTGTCGTGGTAAAACGCCATAAAATTGTAACACTCCATCACATATATTCTTTTTTATATTATTCGCTATTCGCCAAAGATCTGTTAAAAAAGGAAATTTGAATAAGAAACCTAGCCAAATGATTTTTTAAGTGCCATTTTTATTTTTTATATTTAATTATTATTAAATCTCTTGTCTTCAAGTCAATTTTATTTTATTGAACCACAATAACCGCCATATTATAGTATAGTGAAACGTTATGAATAAGTAATGTTAACGATATACTAACTGTGAGTAACAACAATAATGCCTTCCTTTAACTAGCTATTACGAGAAAACAATTTTATTTAAGTTTCTTTGTCATTTGGACCGTGAGAAAGAAAAATCTTCTTGTTATTTTATTTTAATATAATATTTAAATAAGGAAGGAAACATACATAAAATACTACATCTCTTAAAATAATAATAATAATAACGCACACACTCAACATAGCCCCCCGCACTAGGGAAACCCTGTATCGCGGGTGCCATGGACACATACATAGACAACCACAAATTACACCCAAACTCACGAAAGAATAAATGTAGGCCATACAAATACCTCTCCCGGCCCGGGAATCGAACCTAGGACCTCTGCGTGGCAGTCCGGCATGGTAACCGCTCGGCCACGGAGGCAATCATCTCCGCCACAAATTTTTTTAATAGAAGTGACAGAATTTTTTTTTTATATAAAGTCTTTCTTTTTTATGATAGGACGTCACCAAGGGAAGAGACGAGCAACTCGTGCACCTTGTGGCAAGCGACACGCCTATCCATAACCCATAACAATTGCAGTGTCACTCAGAGCATTAAATCGCAAAGATCTGAGGGGCACTTCCACTGCGCCCGTCACCCTGAGACATAAGTTGACAAGTCTCATGTGCCTGTAATTTCACCAGCACCTTTATCCTTCAAAACCGGAACCCAGTAATGTTCCCATTACTGCTTCCCGACGGAAAAAGGTACAGTGCCAGTATTTCCCTTGACGAACTCTTTCACAAGAAGCTCTACTGCTACTAAATTTCAACAAGTTTGAATTCAAAAACGTAACAATAACAATTAATTTGATGGTTGACTTTCGATTAACTTTTTTATTTTATGGGATTAGGATAATGAGCACATAATCTTCGCCATTGTCAAGTTTGTTGAAGAGGCACTTATAAAGGCGTGTCGACAAGGTGAAAGCCTAGCGTGAGTTTTTTTATTGCGCCTTACATTTTTTTAGACAATGTTTATATCTGTACCTTGAACTTACACAATGTATGTGGAAATAGTAATTGAAATCCCTAACTTAAAAGTTTACTTGGACTTTAAACTAACAAAGGAAGTTAAAAGCAAATACAAATTTAAATTTATACAGGCTGGCCCGAAAGCTCTACATATTTAAAAGGTGGTGAATAGAATCATCATTAATATTTGCATCAACCATTAATACGAACTTTCAAATCTGCTAATTTGTCTATTCGACTAAAATGGTCCCCAAAGTAAAGGTCGTTCATGTTGAAATATAAAATTACCTTAGAGGCCACCCTGTATGTTTAGGCCATTAAACGGGTCCCCTATGTAATTGGAAATAACAATTGGGCCAGTTGCCATATTGTGAAGACTACAGTACGGAAGCAGATTATCGGATCCTTTCTCAACCCAGGGACAAATTACAATCTAAAGCCGATAATATCAGATCACTGAGTTCGTTAACAGTATAATTTATGTAAATGAACTAAATTCATGATAAATACTTGATTTTCTTGTACGTGGAAATCTTATTTCATAACGAAATATTGATATATCATCATAGTATAATAAGGCAAGTATGGTAACTCTGTACAAAGTAACAGCGCGGCTTGTATTTGTGCACGATCGCAACGCGCCGTGTACGGATGCACACATTCGCATAATAATGAAAGGCTCGTGAGGCGATCATAGGTACAAGACGCGAGTGCATCGCGAGATTGTACGAATGTTAGCGTCCGTACACAACGCGTACACATACAAGCCGCGTTTCTACGTTTGTATGGAGTTACCATGCTTGTTTTATTATACAATGAAATCTTTTATTGTTTTTACAAAACTTGCCCGTAGAGAGTTTCAAGAGTGAAGCGCGACGAAAATATTAGTGGTGGTGTGGTTTATCCATAAGTAAACTGTGAGATTTATCTCAACTTTAGTCCTCAAAAAGTCGCCCCAATCTGGAAATTAATGTACCAACGTTCAATTCAATAAAGCATATTAAAAATTATAACAAATTTCGTTTATGTGACATAAAGCATGAATTTAGTTGCATGATTGTACTAACTTCAGGGCAATAAAATACGCCTTATAACAGAATAAAGTAGAGTCGTATCAATAAATAAAAGTCATTGAAACATTCTGTAGCAAAATAAGAACTACAATAAAAATGAAATTAACTACATTGTTTTTATTATGGGCAATATCGTGCGCATTTTGTGTAAATCCGAATGTATACAACATGTTAGTGTCGTTTGTGACTATGGACGATCGATCCACATCCGTATTGCTTTTCCATTTATGTTGGACTTCGCGTAAGTAAGGTTTATGTTACTTTTTCTTCTAATATCAAGTGACGGGACGAACAAGTCGTGCGCCTGATGGTATGCTACACGCCTGTCCATAACAGTTACAGTGTCACTTCGATTTAAAGCTCTGGCTTTAAATCGAAAGATCTGAGGGGCATTGCCATTGCGCCCTGAGACATAAGTTGAGAACTCCCATGTGCCTGTAATTTCACAGTACCCTTACCTTTCAAAACCGTAACACAGTAATGCAGACATTACTGTTTGGCAGCAGATATAAACTCTTTCACGAGAAGTTCTACTGTAACTGTAACTATTAATACACATCGATCTATACGAACACATCGATTTTACGTTTTTATATGCACGCCCAATATAACATAAGTGTAATAAAAAAGATTCAACCACAAGCAGGTTTTTTTAAGGCGAGAGTGAATAGACATTATTTGGGTGCACACTTTCCATCTGGTGAGATGGAGGACATTTATTTTTGTATATAAATAATTATAACGTCTTTAATTAAAAAAACGACCTCAAAAAATTGTAGAATTACATCTATTTACCAAGTTTTATTGAAATTGGTTAACGGAAAGTGGGTGAAATCCAATAAACCGGATACATTCCTTACTTACAGAACGAATCCGGTTTATTATAATATATTCTTCTTCTCGGAATATATTCTTCAAATGTGAATGGAACCACTACTCAGGTACCTCGTTTCCCACAAAAAAGTATCATCGCAATCAGTTCACATATGTAGAAGTACCTAATCGCCTATATTACGATTGTGAACATTTATTGTGTGAAAGTCGTTTAAAATATAGCTCGTGATTGTTTATAGTAATAAATAGTTTTATAAAAATAGAAACCGAAAAAAAAGAAAACAATATTTACATATTTTTCGTATTTTTTAACAATTTTGTGTCAAAGTTGTTTATTTTCAAAATCAATTCTTAGAACTAAACCCCAGAAATGCAAGGTGCATTAGTGTTAGGATATTTAGGACCAGTCACGTCAATAATAATTAATAATTTGCAAAAATCGGGTTGGCGATTGCGGAAAGGTCCAGCCCCTACCGCCTAACTGGAAAATCAGCATGAAGACTTACTTCAGACTTATTTTCGGACTTCCGAAATCAATCAAATCTTGAAATATGCAGAATTTCACAGTGCGTGCTGGACGTCAATCTGACTTTCGTGTTTGCGTTAAAAAACCAGGAGAAGATAAGATGATCATGATGATTTATTTTATGTGTGAAACAGATGAACTATTTTATATGCGGACAACCTCACCAGATCGCTATTACATCTTTAGTCAATGCCTGTTCAATCTAGCCTTGAATAGCCTAAATTGTAGCTCTCGGGAAACATCGATATCGGTAGTATGTTTCATACCTTTGCCGTACACGTCAGGAAAAGTAAAAGACGAAAGTTATAACAATTACCACATTACCGAAGGAATATATTGAATTTAGCAATTGAAACAGATTCATTGATCGACGATTGTTATGGTACCTATATATTATGCACAATGTCACTAGTGCAAAATATTTCAGATGAAATAAAATCTCTAGTCAAGAGCTTGTTTGAAGTAAATATCAATATAGCACATTCCGTACAGAAAAATAAGACCGGACATTTCCTTCAACATATTCTCCTCGTTGCCGATTTGTCCTGCGCAGGGATCGAAACGCATTTGATTCAGGTACAGGATCAAAATTATTACGTCAAGTTTGACATTTATAAGATTTAAATTCAACTATGTACTGCATGCCATAAAAACGGCCCAAAGTGTCAAGCTAGATGTGAGAAACGCTTTTGAAATATTTTCACTAAGTTAAATCACAGAAGACTTAAAAGCTGCCTTTACTTCTTTCGACGCTCTACGCCCAACTTAACCAATATTTTCTGTTACAGTCATTAGTATGTAATTCCTTTTACAATCAAAAGTTATATTTAAATATGCATCACACGTCGTAATAATCACCATCAGAACATTTTTATTTACAGTTTATTATTTAATTCAAACTAGTTTTGAATTTACTGAGATACAATGCCAATTCGTCAACTACAAATGAATTCTTGAAATTGACCCACTTCTCTTGAACAGGCCAACACGGAAGGATACGTTAAGGCACCATATCGCTGGCTTCTGCTTTGTACACAGGAGCAGGATATATTGCCTCCATTGGATGCTTTGGTGGACAGTGACGTAGTAATAGCCAGTACGGCTGATGACATGGAGTACATGTTTATTGAAGGTATGGTGGAGCTCCAAAAGTTAAAAAACTTAGTGAAGATTAAATATTTATTGAATTGACATTCAATTATTTTTGTGAAATTACTCCATTAGTTTGTTATGATTATTAATACAAAGATCGAACACATAGAAAAAATTCCTTCGATCTCCGACGCATACTCATAGCAAACTATGCCAGACGCTATGCCAACTAAGTCATGGAACGAACCAGCGGATCTCACGAATTTTTCTATGTGCTTGTTGCTCAATCTTTACACTTGGTTTTCAATGACATTTTAGCCGTAGCGCCATCTATGATAAATCTATGATATAAGTGGAGATTTTCAAAATCAAATAATTTTCTTTGGGAACTCATACTCATTTCTTGTTACAGCTTACAAAATATCAAAACAATCCGAATTCATTTACAATACCAGAGCAACGTGGCGCTCAAAAAATATAGATAAAGTTCTCGAAAGTTCCAATGAAAACTTTTTAATAACCTTCAAAGATAAACATTCTAACACAAGTCTTTTAGAGGTCGAAGGAGCGAATAAAGAACAAGAAACAAATCAAGTTTCTAATAAAACGAAGAATAGAACGATAAGCAAGTATGGAACAGTAATAGATTATAGAGAAAGTAAAGTATTGTCTTCAAGACGAATGAATTTGAGAAGACATGCTTTGACTATGGTAAATGTTATTAATGATAGCAATGAAACTAAGAAACATTTGGATGACAGATTGTAAGTATATCGTCCATTACAAATAAATGTCACAGCAGACTATGATTTGTTCCTTCTAGTGTGTAGAGTAATAGGATATTTCTCATGTTAGAGCGATATCACACGGGCGTTGCCGGTGCTTTGCGGTGTCGCAAAGTGGTATAATTTTGACGCACCGAATGCGGTGTCGCGACGTAATGCCACCGCCGCCCGGTTACCCACTGGAGGGGTGTGTAATGTATTATATAAATATTATTTACATAACGCTCAATTGGCATAATTTTACTTCCAATAAACTCATTTAATATAGTAATTCACTTGATATAACGAACGTTTAATATAAACATAATATGTATGCGATAAAGAATACAAAAAGAAGAACTTTGAACTTATTTGTTGTAAAGATTTGGAACTTTGAATTTTAAGAATATTTATGTACGCGCGCGCTCGCTGTCGTCGCATGTTTATGTTCCAACCTTTCTTTTTTTTAACCTAGTGAATGGGAGACGCAACGAAGATTAGACCTATATAAAATATGTTTGCTTTATTTAAACCGCCAAGGAACCCAGTGTCTAACAATAATAATTTTGTCGAAATGAAAATTCAGCATTGTAAACTACATTAAGGAAAACAACTCTCCCTCCGGACCTCCGGTTTTTAAATTACACTCCTATTATCGAACAGACAAGTATCATGACGAGTCGGATTTAAACTATTATTTATGAAAATAAAATATTATACGACGTAAAAATTATCTAAATTAACAATATAATTATGAAATGGTTGTTATATATTTAATATGAGCTTTATGTATTTTTTTTATAAAATGTGAATGTTGTACCAAATAAGAATTATATGAAGTTAACTTATAGGAAATGAAATTAGTCCAAATAAAAATTATATTAAATGAACGGTATTTGTTTCGAAATTAGTTTATTTAATTTTCGTATAAGTCTCACTTCTCGCACCGCAGCATCCTTGCCCGCTTCGTCTCCTGGACTCCTGTCTGATACGCACGAGTTTCGTCATCTCTCGCCATTTCAACAAACTATGTGGCAATTTATATATAATACAACACACCGCTCAGGCGTTGCAATATCGCGTGACATTGCTCTATGGTATCCTAATGTCGTTTGGGGTGTACAAGTATTCTCAAAACGAACAAAGCCCTTAACATCTCTTAAAATTAATTTTGTTCATTATTTTCCCAGGCAACTCCACTGGGATTCAATAACGAAGATGTCGTATATGGTGGCAAAGTTATGCTTGGATGCGTTGAACAGCACAGAGAACCTCGTATTTACCAACACGTGGGGATACAGGGACAAGAACGGAAACTGGCAAGGAGTTATTGATTTTTTGATTAAGAAAAAGGCTGATATTGGTTAGTACGAAATTTCATAAAATTGTAAAGACCTAAAGTAACAATGATATGTATTTTGGTAGCTTTTCACGTTTAGTAGTAAAAATAGTTTATTATGTATCATAAGTACAGTTTTTCTTTAAAAAAATCTATTTAATTTCTTGTCACCTTTACATGAAACACCACGTTTTCCGATTGATACTAAAGTTATTTTGCTTAAAGCTTCCACGTATTGAGTTTTATCCGCGATAAAATGTATTTTATAAACTTTTTTTTTTTAGTTGGAATTATTATTTATCCTCGTTTGAAATATCAAAGAAATAAATTCAAATATTCAAACAAAATTTGAGATTCTATTACAAAAACACATATTAATAGCTTTTATTTGCAGGAACTGGAATGCTGTTCATAGCGGAACGTCTTGATGTAGTTGATTACATAGCTCCGGCGGGCAGTACCGCTCTTCGATTTGTGTTTAGGGAACCACCTCTGGCCTATATAACTAACATCTTCACTTTACCTTTTTCTGGGACTGTTTGGCTAGCGATCTTCATATGCATACTTGCATGTGCTCTGTTTTTGTATATTGCTTCTAAGTGGGAAGCTTCTATGGGCATGGTAAGGACATTAGAATTATTATATTACTACCTGATTGATATTTGTTGTGGAAACTTTAAATTAAGGCACCATCTATTACCGTACCCATTTAAAATGATGATACATATAAATTTATATGGCAATGAATGACTTCTTACATTAGGTTGACGAAATACAGAATATGTTTGGAATATACGAAGACGTGCACACAGGTCAGTTGTTGGCGCTGCTCTATTTCAGCTTTTTTATTTGTGATTTATGTGCAAACGAGACTGGATATCTAAAAGTGATATAACGCACATTTGCCTGATGAGTTGCCAGGGATGGATGGCCCTTATTTCGTCTCTATTTATGTATGCATGTATGTGTTTCGGTTATATACTCGATGACCAGAAATATTGAATAATCTAGTGCGCATTTCAGCACCCTCTCCAGCTAGACGGTACGTGGGCTGACGTGCTGATTCTCATAATAGGCGCCATTTTGCAACAGGGATGTACGCTGGAACCACGTTATGCTGCAGGTTAGCGTCATTTTTAGCCGACTTCAAAAAATATGGAGTTCTCAATCCGAATTTTTTTTGTATATGCTACGCGATTACTCCGACATTTGTGAATTGATTTCGATGATTTTTTTTTTATTAAAAAGGGTGTGCCTCATTAGTGGTCTTATTTAAATTTGAAGAAAATATTCTACCACTAAGCGTGGTAAATTAGGGGATGAATACTTTTTATTGGAATTTTCCCTGGTTTATTGGATCCACTTTCCGTTAACCAAATTCATTAAAATTTGGTTAGTAGGTAGATGAATTCCACAAACATTTGAGGTCGGTTTCTTTTTAAAAAAAAGTTATAATTATGTATAGGAAATGAAACTATTTTTCCGGATTATATCGCGAATATTGGTTTTTTCAAACCAACGTTTCGGGCCCTTTACAGGTACCATGGTCACGGTTGACTGAGGTGGTCAAGTCATGAACCAGTTATGTCTAATATTAATGCAAACCAGCCTATTTTTTCACTATAGTTACAAGAGTTATTAATTTAATTTAATCTGGAAAAATAGTTTCATTTCCTATGTGTAACAATTGCGAAAACCTAAGAACTCGTTATAATTACAAACTTTATTAATTATTATAAATACGTCAGGTTATTATTATATAAAATTTACATTTAACTTTCAACTGATAAAATGGAAACATACTGAAAAATGTTAACCATTAAACCAAAAAAACACTTCATTAATATGTTCTTTAATACTACCACTAGCCAGTTTTTTTTTCACTGCACCATCATTACTTAAATAAGTAAAAATACAATTGGAGTAAGTGGACTACAACCTAACCCCTTATTGGACGCCTGTGCTCGGTGACACGATAGCGATATAGATTGATATTGATGCTCTTTACTATATAATGTGTGTGTGGTGTAGTGGCATCCCTGTTGGCTGTAGGTGCCGCCTCTCAAGGTGGCACCAACAGTCTTCTTAAGGATGTACAGCCCAATACTTAAGTATTGTATATCCATCCTTGTTCATGAAAATGAACACTTTGTTTTCTAGTAACATAGTTCTAAGTACCTACTAACACCATATGGACATGTGAGTATACGTACTGTCTGAAATAAAATTCTTTCATTCAAAATAAGCCACCAATAAAGGTAAGAATTAAGTAAGAAGATACGACAAGACAGTGCAAAAAAAAATACAGCTCAGAGTATTACTTTGGGCTACGACGAACGCCTTAAATTTATAATCATCTACTCGAAATATGTCTTTATACTTTTAAGTCTTCAAAAATAAGGATTAGCCTTAATGATCACGCAGGCAACAGGGTTGTTGCCATACTGCCTAAGGTAGGCGGTATTTATTCAGGAAAATGTTACAGTAGATCTTAGTGAGGCATAGTAATTACCGCGAATTACTCAAAAGGATTTTTAATTTCCATATTGGAACGCATCGAGTATATAACCAGAAATAGAGACGAAATGTCATTTAATTTCTTTGAAAACTATTTTGCCAAATCATTCCAGTGACAACTGCGTCCCAATTGGCCAGCCCGAATTCAAAACAATTGACGGTGTCGTCAATTGTTTCCCTTCAAATCGACTAGTTTAACTTGAGCTTTGCTATAATGGACGAATATTGAAAAAATTACATATTTAATATTTAATTGCCGATGAAATGTGATTCCGTTTATTTTGTAATGAGATGTTTTGCTGTTTTTCCCACACCACCGAATGGAACACCCCATATTGTAAGAGACATTATCTTATTGTAATAAATACAGAATAGGAGATGAAACTATTTTTCCGGATATAAATCGCGTATATTTGTTTTTTCAAACAAACCGACATTTCGGGCCCTTTACAGGTCCCATGTACAGTCTTCAACCAGTTATCCAGTCTAATATTAATGCAAACTACCCTATTTTTTCACTATAGTTACAATAGTTGTTAATTAAATACCTTATTTTTAATTTTCTAAAGAAAACATTCCAATTTACGCTACATTAAGTTTTACAAATTACATATTTTATTGAGTGAATTTCTTATTAAGTTTAATTTATTATTAATTATTAAAACAAATTACAAAAAACTAAAACATATTAATTAGTACTGCAGTCTTATGTCTGTTTGGGATTTTTCATTAGAGGAAATACTGGATCCCAAACTGGTGGTACAGAGAAACCATCTTCCCTGTTGAAATTAGGATGTTTTTTAATTTCAATGGCCTCTCGCAGCATCCTGGGTAGATAACGGACTTCTTTTGCAAGGACCTGGGGTTTGTTAAACTTCATTGAATGTGTAGGTTTATCCATGACATGCTCGCAGATTGCAGAAAAAAACAAATATACGCGATTTAAATCCGGAAAAATGGTTCCATTTCCTATGTGTAACAATCGCGAAAACCTAAGAACTCGATAAATACAGAATATTTTTCGAACATACGGAGACGTACACACGAGTCAGTTGTTGGCGCTGTACTGTTTCAGCTTTCTAATTTGTAATTTCAGCGAACGAGAGTTGATATTTAAAAGATATAAAGCCCATTGGCCTGATGAGGTGCTAGGGATTGATGGCACTTATTTCGTCTCTATATTTGGTTATATACTCGATGACGGAACGTAACTCTGAAAAAGGTCAAAATTCCTACTTATATCTATTATATATTATGTAAATGGATGTTTCTATGTACAATTAATTCCTCTTTAATATGAAAAATAAGTAGTCAGTTTCTTTTCCTTGTAATATCATTCAATGTTGGTCATGAGACAAAATTATTTTCTGAACTTTGCCATATATGCGTGTCAATAGATGGCATTGTATGTTACAAACTAAATTATAAAATAACGAATATTAATTCGTAGATGGCGCTAATCCTAAACAAAATAAAAGAATAGGCGGTACTATCCATAAATCTAAGCAATAAGCGTCATCTAGTTGTTTTGCTGTTATCACTAGAAATCAGTGTAGCTTCGACATCTGCAGCTTGTGAATGTAGACCAAATTAGTTACAAAAATCTGATTCTTCTGAATCTGATTTATCAATAGGTACTATACACCCGATTACGTTATCTTGTATCTAGATTAACAGTACTCAAGTGATTTGTCCATGATATTACGGAGATTTATAATCTAAAGTACTATTTTTCCTTGTATTTTTTAAATCTTTCAGGTCGTTGCGCTACACTACTACTCTTCATAGCACTAACGATTTTGTACGCGGCGTACTCAGCAAATATTGTGGTCCTCCTGCGAGCCCCCAGCTCCTCTATAAAGACCGTGCAGGATCTGCTTGATTCACCCCTTAAGCTCGGAGCCAGTGATTTTCCGTACAATCGATATTTTTTTATGGTATGTTAGTGATTGGAGGAGTCAGCTCTCATACCGATATGTACTTAACTCATGGTTATTTACAAGTATAACACATTGCATGGTAGAGTTAGTACTGTTCAAATGACATTCTTTTTTTATGACACCAAGTGACGGGACAGACAATTCGTGCGGTTGTTGGTAAGCGACAAGCCTGTCCATAACAATAACACTGCCAGTGCCACTCAGAGCTTTAAACCGCAAAGATCTGTGGAGCACTGCAATTGCACCCGTCACTCTGAGACATAAGTTAAAAATCCCATGTGCCTGTAATTTTCCAGCATCCTTACCCTAACAACCGAAATACAGTAATGTTCACGTTACTGCTTGGCAGCACAAATAGGTGAGGTACAAGTACTTCCCTGGACGAACTCTTTCAAAGTGTTCGGATGTTTACCAAAATGGTGGCTTCTCAGGAGTTCACGTATTTCTTTTTTAAAGGACAGATTTTGAATTCTTTGAAATCAAGTATGTAATTTAAGCAGCATCTCCAGAGAGAAAGTTAGACAAGAATATAGTGACGCTCTTGCATTACTTTCCACTTTTACATAATTTGAACAACAAGTCCCAAGTTCCGGTGTACATTAGGATAGACTTACAATATCCAAAATAAATATAATTGAATACCTCAAAAAGTAACTACTTAAATATTCTAGTAAAAATAAATGAGTTGATATGAAAGAGGCAAAGTTTGTCATTTGCATGACTGACATATAAATTATTCAACAACATTTGCAATTATAGTATAACAGTCGTGTATGTTTTTAGAAATGGAACGATCCCATCAGGAAGGCTATCTATGACAAGAAGATTGCTCCTAAAGGGCAAAAGCCGAATTATTTAAGTATGGAGGAAGGCATTGAACGTATAAGACAAGTAAGTATTATTTGTTAAGACGAGGTATTTCCACGTGAGCCTCGATTTTAGGAGGTGAGGCGTGGAGATCGCCTCTTGTGTTCGGCAATCCACGCGTTGTAACTTAACATGATTGAGAAGAGCTGGAGAAAATTTGACACAGTCGTTAAACCGCTAATAGGGCTTTTGTTGAAAACCAAATTTTAGCAGGTTCTCTGTAGTACTTAAAGAGACATATCTCCATATAAAAATTATGTACAAAATTAGGTATTTTGTTCTTAAATAATTCGTGTTACACTTTTATTTTAGCATGTTTTCAAGATTTATTTGGTCATATAAAATACATCCTATCGTATAATACATTAGCACATTCTTTAGGCAATATCCTTAGGTGTGTCATTATATGTTTTGTGAGACCGTTATTTAATAGTAAACTATACCATACCAACCTAAACCATTTAATTTAGCAAACCAGTTTTTCCTACTTCTTCTCCGATGATCACTTTAAGCAGTCTTTATTTTAAAATAAAAGAATTCTTGTTTCCTCTATTGCAATTTCACTAGGCACTTTCAAAAGCCAATATCATTCAAGTCGGTCGGTCACCATGATGGAAGCCACTTGCCATCAGAATAGGCTGAAGAAGGCATTGTTTTTTTCCCCACCATTTCATCTGATGGAAAGTGACGAAAAGTTGACGATGTAGCATGCATACCCAAATAATGCCTATTCACACTCGTCTTAAAAGGTTAAATTTATACCATTCAGGAAACAAGTCTGCGGGTAGGGAATTCCACTCCATAGCCGTTCGTCATATAAACGTGGAAGCGAAACGTTTCGCGCGAATCCTTGGATTATCCATAACACAGAGGTGTCCCCCTGTAGAGTATGGATATACAGTAATATTGACAGAAAAAGACAAAATTCTTTTTATGAAGACAAATTTATTAAATCCAACAAAACGATCCTCTCCCTGTAGACGCTAGAGAATAATTACTTGATAATAGTAAAAAAAACGTCTCAAAAGTGTATTTTAGTTATAAGACAGAAATATTTAATCCAAGAGCAAATTAATTTACTTCAAGCATTGACTTACAAATAAATGGACGACGGGTCTAATACAAAAATCACGAAAAAAATGTCCCAAGTCAACCTATTCCAAATTTAAATTGTAATGTCATCGCAGTATCGCGCTGTCAGTAGAACAAATGAAGACTAAAGCGGAGTTTGGCGCTCTATATACGATTTTAGCGCCTTACAAGTGCGGACACTTTTTAGCGCGGACCCGACGTCCATATAAGTCAATGACATCAAGTCACAAAGCTACTCTAGATTTAACAAAATATTTATTAGTTATTAGAAATGTGTGATTTTGTCTTGAAAAGAAAAGAATGAAAAATTGAGAGGTACTTAATTATTTGACTGAAGACCTAATATCAAAAAGCGTAAATTTAGAGGGTTATGGACCCAACAGTATGTCTCAATAGCGTGAAAGCACATAGTTCAGTGCCTTAAAGTAGCAGAAATAGCACGGAATCTTCTCAAATACTTGAGTACCATTCAGTGCCGTATAAATGCTACAGCGGCAGAAAGCACTAACCATTCAAAATATATGAGATGACTTATACTGTTGAAGTTAACAAAACGATAGCGCGCTTCAGAGTACAACTAATGTGATCTAGCAGTGGCGCGATGGAACTAATTGCATGTTAAAGTTGTACTTGTTACAAGTGTAGTTTGATTTCATGCTGAAACCAAATTTCTTAAATTATGACTACAAATAACACACTAACAAACTAGAGATACTACGTATTGTTTCTTTGGATAAATGACTGTTTACGATTTTTATGATTACAAGCACAAGTAAAAGTAATCGTTACCGCGTGCGCCTTCGGCGACATGTCACGACAACATTGACTATGAAAACGCAACGAAATGTTGCTTTAAAAATATACTCTAGAATTTAGAATATTAATCTGAATAGCCAAACTACTATTTTTTTGTTTAAGAATATATTTTCTTAAAATACACCCAAGAAATTTTGAATTCATTTAAAATTATTTAAATTTGATGTAAGAGGCAAAAGTTCTTGATGTAAGTAATGTTCAATTAATTGATTAGAAATGAAATAAAATCTTGAAGTGAAGGTCTAAAAGTTAGAATTGAAGGTATTTGTCTAAAAGTTAGAATAAAGTTAAGAGTAAATTGTATTAGAAAAAGATAAGCAGTATTTCTGTAATGACAATATTTTATTACTTTTAATAAATATTTTTTCAGAATTAGCAAATATTTTGAGAAATTGCTCTTTCTTATTAGTAGAATTCCTTTTTTTCTGTGTGCACGTTAACTTTCCAGCACAGGCTTGTATCAGTATTTTTGTAATGATATCTAGTGATGGGACGAACAATTCGTGCGCCTGGTGGTAAGCGACACGCCTGACCATAAAGTTGCAGTGTCACTCAGAGCTTGATATCACAAAGATCAAAGGCCACTGCCACTGCCACTGCACCCGTAACCCTGCTCTGACATAAAGATCACAATCTCATGTGGCTTTCACTAGCACTCTTATCCTTTAAAACTGGAACGCGGTAACGAGTGTTAAGCAATCTCCGGAGTTTCTTACTCATTCTTATAAGGGAAATCTGCCTTACGAATGAGCAATATAGTTTCACCACAGAACAATTAATGCTGTAGAAGTGGTTAGTTAGCGGCCTACGCATGCCAACTATAGGTCTCAAAATACCTATCTGAGCTGAGCCCGCCATTTTCGCTTTGTATGATATGGTTGTGTCATTCTTTCGTGCAAATTCTCTAAAATCCTAGAAAAATGCCTTATTGTGCTATTTCGGTGTGCAAAAATTATAGCCGCACCAAATAATATTACCCGTAGTGGTATGATATAAAATTATATCATCGGAAAGTCTTATCGAAATATTTTTTTTGTAAACGAAAGGAAAGTAAAGCTTATACCCCTGCAACATAGTCACTTTTTTTTGGAGAACTAAATCAATAACTCCAATTTGTCGTCGGTCAGATATTAACCGCTAGATGGCAGCACATTGCTGGCAATTTCGCAACAACTTGCAATTATAGGTATTGATGGTATTGAACTTACAACGATATGCCAACAATGTAAAGTTTAAATTATATTAGCAATCCAGAATTTATAATTTCTTTTTAAATTTGAAACTACGACCTGTCTATATCAAGATTTTGTACTGTTTCAAACTAATAATGTGTGAGTTTTTGCGATATCGGTTCTGATAGAAATCGAAGCTTATAGCATTTCCATTGTTTTTTTTTTCTTCAGTGAGTTTAACCAATGTATTTAACGATTTTAAGTACATTTTTTCACACAAGTTGGCTTACCTATCAAATAATGATTATTTGAGGTTGCTTACATTACTTCATGGCAGCAGAACTAATCACTATACCTATTAGTGACAGATCTTCCCTGGAAAAAAATACAGATTTGTCACCATTATACCTTACTTTACCCACTACTAGCTATAAACTTCTTCATTGCAGATACGATAATATATTGTCATTACATTGATTGGTGATTGAAAACATTATGAACAGTGAAATATCACACGTTTGATTGCAGGGCTTATTCGCATTTCACATGGAAGTGTACCCTGGGTACAGGATAATTCAAGAGACATACCAGGAGAATGAGAAGTGTGATCTGGTTGAAATCGACTACTTAAACGAGCAGCCTAATCCATGGTTACCTGGACAAAAAGGATCGCCGTTTAAGGAACTGTTTAAAATCAAGTACATTTGTTTATTTACACTCTCTCCTTAAGGAGACTTGTGCATATAAGACATCCAAATTAATATTATAAATGCCAAAGTAACTCCGTCTAATTAAAATAATTATGTGTAAACCTCTGAACCAATTTTAGTATAGGGATAGACGGGACCTTGGAGAAGGACATACGCTACTTTTTGTCACAAAAATAAATCTTAAAGGGGGTGAATCTATTTCAGTAGACTTCGGGAATTAGTTTTGTTTAGAAGTATTAACTGTAAATTTTACATTCCGTTATAAATATTAGGGGTTAAAGTATGAAATTGCCGTTTTATTGCAATAGGTTCTTTGAATTTTCATAGAATCTTCATGGTTTGAGGTTTTCGAATGAAACTTTTTTCAAATGGTTTCTGTGATTTTTTTTTT